ACACACACACTCACCATTAGAGGACGTTCTGCTAACTTCTTAAAAAGTCAGTAGTTGCTATAACAAATACTGATTTTTTTCAGCCAACACAAAGTCCTCTGGTGGCACGAGGAAGAGGAATGGAGACTATGACGGATGGCCAAGAAAAGTACATATGGAGGGTCCATTGCTGCTGCAAATGCATTTGTATTTGTAGCCACAATGACTGCATGGTGATAAAATCATTGCCATGTGGAAGCAGCCAGAGTTTGTGGCACATCCTGATTTCTATATTAAGATGACAACTGCAGGCTTTGGGCTTTCCCACCATGCCATAAAACAGTGTTTTCCACACTCCCTTTTTGGTTTTTTGTACTGAATATCCAGCATGATGAGGTTAATGAGAGTTCAGTGAGCACACTCGTTGTGATGCACAGGGTGTTGTGATTCATTCATTGTTCTTAATAAAATATATGACACAACAATTGCTTTTTGTCTGCAAAACATGGAGACATGTAACCTTAATCCCCTACAGAAGTCTGACAGCATTGCCCTCCTATTTTAAAATCGCAGTCAAGAAGGGAATCAGCAAGTGTAACAGCTGGACTTATGTTTTTATCATTGGCTAACTGGCATAGCTAAATGTCTATGAGCACTAACTTGTGTTGGAAAAATAAGCATTCAGCAAGAAATTGCAAGTAGATAAATAGGAACCGCTTCAGTAGGAAGGTAACAGCATTCCGTGCGCCTCGGCATTAAGTCATGCCAGCTACATGACCACAGAAAAGTCTTTGGAAAACGCTGGCTCTTCGGCTTGGAAATGGAGATGAACACCGCCCCCTAGAGTCAGATTCGACTGGTTTTTGAGCAAGGGAAACTTTTACCTTTAAACTAAGCATACCCAAAATGGTGGTATCCCTGCCCTACTTTTCCAGCTCTTTTTGGAGCCCTGAGCAGTTACTGCTGAAAGCTGCAGGACTATATCAGAATGAGAGAAGTGTTTGCAATGCAATGCAATGTGGGAGCCACACATGGCTAACTTTTTAAGATCCCTTGTCATGGACTAATATGTATTGCATCCCCAAAGTCAACATTGTTGGGACGACAGCTTTGTCAAATTATTGTTATGAAGTTGCACTCTGATAATCATGTGGGATAAGTCTATGCAATGTGACAATAGAATGGTAATGTATCTTAATGATGAATAGATATCTCCTCAACGGGGCTTAAGTGTCACAAGAAGGCTCTGACCAAGTATTCATTGGGACTCGGAAGAGGTGGTCCCTCTCTCCCAGCAGATGATGTTTTATATGAAAAGAAAGTGTAGTTTAGAGGCTGGAAGAGACAGAAAGAGAGACCGACAGTCACTGCTGTGAGTAGGTTGAAGCAAGATCTCTCTCTCTCTCTCTCTCTCTCTCTCTCTCTCTCTCTCTCTCTCTCTCTCTCGCTCTCACGCGACAGCATATCTTCTGCTCTGCAGGAGTACCTCAGTTGCATCCACTTATTATTTACCTATATCTTTCTAACTGAAGCAAAACCTAATAACTGTTGGAAATATTAAAAGAGTGTAGGCTCATTCTTTCATATGTGGTGGATGTGTGATAGAGTTAAAAAATATTGGTCTTGGATCCATGAAATGCTGCAAAAAATGTTAGAATGTACCATACCTTTTACACCTGAATTATTATTATTGAATATAAAACCAGAAACACGTAAAATCCAGGACTTTTATTATACATGTATTGACTACTGCAAGAATATTATATGCAAAATTTTGGAGGAAAGACAAAATACCCTCAAAAGAAGAAATGTTAGACAAAACTCTTGAAACTGCTGAGATGGATAAATTGACTTTATTTTTGAGAGGGCAAGAAGAAGGGAGATTTCAGAATACATGGTCAAGATTTTATAAATAGCTGGAAGAATACAATAAATGAACAGTAAAGTCTTACAATATTATATTTTTGATAATCTAGAATTTTGTTTGAAATATAATGCAGTAAACATAGATTGAATATGTGGTGATTAAAAACGATTTATACATTTATTATAAAGTAGGAGGTATTGTAATAGATATAACTGGAAACTCTTTGTAACCCCCATTTTATGTCTTTTCTGTTTGTTTGTCTGATGTGTTTGTTGTAAAAATAAAAATGTTATATAAAAATATATATGAAGCAAAACACTACCAAAAGCCATCAGTGGTGGACCTACAATTTTGGGATCCTGAAGCTTGAACTGTTATAGGGACCCCTTCTCTATCCGGGAGCACATCCAGCCAGTGCTAAAGGCATTGCACTGGCTGCCTATAGCATACTGGATTCGTTTCAAGGTGCTGGTTCTTACCTTTAAAGCCCCAGGGTCCTACATACCTGAGGAACCACCTTTCCTCATATATACCCCAGAGAGCACTGCAATCAGGGGAACAGGACAGGCTGGCCCTCCCGAGTCTCAAGGACACCAGGCTATCAATAACCAGGGCCAGGGCTTTTTTGGTGGTGGCTCCACTATGGTGGAATGAGCTCCCAGAAGAGACCAGGGCCCTGCGGGATCTTTTGCAGTTCCGCAACGCCTGTAAAATGGAGCTCTTCCACCAGGCTTTTGGAGCTGCCGCCACCACTAACCACTGACAACTGATGGTTCAAAGTGGGAGAGCCCGGTTTTCCTGGGATTCAACCTATAGCCTGAGATAGCTGCCTAAGTTGATCTAAAAGAGCAAGAGCCGAATGTGAATAAAGAGCCCGAGTAATAACAACCGCTGTGAATTATTTGATATTGATACTAGCATTTTAATAGGTTTTAATACGAATAGTCAGAATTGTTTTAATATTAATATGTTGTTACAGTATTTTATTGTAATTTTACTGTAATTCTATGCTGTTTTGTAAGCTGCCCTGAGACGGCCCTGGCCAGGAGGATGGGGTAGAAATTGAATCAATCAAATCAAACAGGCAATAGTAGGGCAACATCCAACAAGGTCCAAAGGGCCTTGCTGCCTTTGCAAGGACCTCAAGGCCCAAATGGCAGAGAACGGGGTGGTGGGGTGGAGCCCTTGAAAATGGCCCAAAATGTAGGCTATGAATAGATTCTGGCAAGCTCAGCAAGCCCATACACCTGGGGGTTCAGGTGCTGCAAGCCCCTGAGAAAATTTTGAAATTTGACCAAATACAGGGACATTTTGAAGCCATATGAAATGGGTATTAGAGCATATTCTAAGGTCAATATTAAATACTTCAACCCATTGGCTTATGATTCTGTCGCTAAAATAGCCTGATTTTAATAACAAATGCTTTTTAAAAACTCCATCAATTTTGTTGAAAAAGTCACTTATTTTTTTAAAAAGTCGCTTCAGGGCCCCTCCAAGATTAGGCACTCTGAAGCTTAAGCTTCATTTGTTTCATGGTAGATCCACCCCTGAAAGCCATATATTTTGAGTTCTCTCTGTAAGGAACTAACCCAGGTCAACAGTGCCCCTGGAACTCTCACTGTCAAGTGAGGTGCACATACTGTTATGCTTGTCCATGCTTGCAGATTCATTTGCGAAAGAAAAGTGCTATGAATAGAAATCTGAGAGTTGCAGCAAAAACAACAGAGTCTTGTCACATCTTAAATAGTGACAAAGTGGGCCCCACTGCACAAAAGCTTATGTGTACATGGGGAAAACATGGGTACAAATTATTATCCATTTAATTTGTTTTTTCCTGTTATATTTCTACAGCTTGTTTCCAAACTTTGGCTTTATCTTGTAACAGAAGTATACTTATTGATAGAGGTGAAGAACAACTCATCCAGGCATGTGTTTCAGTGTCCATTCATTAATGGACTAAGGTGAGGTATATTTAGGATATTTAACGTGGGGAAGGGAAGCAAGTCATCAGCAACTCATTCTCTTGCTTATGGCTAGGGTCAGGCTGGTCTTCTACTTGCCATTGTGTTCTTGGAATAAGGTTGCCAAGTTGATCTTCACTGGGAGTGGGGGGCTCCCGGCTGGTGTCTGGCGCGCGCGCAAAGGACGCCAGGCACGCTGGGGGCGGGGGCACGGCCGTACAAGGGAAAACCATAGAGTTTTCCCTTGGATGGCTGTGGCCCCGCCCCCAGCGTGCCCGGCGTGGTCGCGTCACTTCCGGGTGACGCGCACGTCGGGGTGGAGTTCCCCCCGGGGCCCGATCCGGCGGCGCTGGGGAACGGGCCTCTGGGGCGGGGGTTTCCCCACCCCCTGGGGGGACTTGGGATCCTTATCTTGGAAAGGTTTTTGCACCAGTGACTTTGATTTATATGCTAGTTGCATATTGTGTTTAGAATATGGATGCTGTTCATAAGGATTGAAATAATAGAGGGGAAAGAAGCATGGCACTGGAATGTATCCAAAGCATATGACTTAGGAAGAAAGTTCTATTGAATTCATTGGGACTTACTTTTGAGTAAGCTTGCTTGAAAACTAGGGTGCTCGAGATTTAGATCAGCTGTTCAGCATACACATCAGGGCTTTCATGCGCAGTGTTCCCTGTGACTATCCACTTAATGTCCAAGGTCACTCTATACGTGCATACCCATTGCCAGGAGATCCTGCTTACATGGAGCTCTGCGTTTTGAAGCTCTGGGGAAAAGCTGTATTTGGGGTAACTTATGTCTTTTTTAAGTTATGCTTTAAGCATAATTTTACAATTTTTGAAAATCTTTACTTTGTAACTTGTGTTTCTCCTAACCAGTTGTTCTAAAAGTACCAAATTCCCGGGGGGGGGGGAGTATAGTTCCAAAAGCATAATACTAAAGCAGTTGTATAAAAGAGCTTTCCTTCCCCTCCCTTGTATTTTCAGAATTCATCCATGATCAGATCTCCCCAAGAAGCAGCTCATAAAGAAGAATTTTATTTTTTTAAGTACACCTGCTGCTGAGCTACTCCAAGAAAATAATTAAATCAAAGGAGTTTTTAAAAAAATAAAAAACCAGCTTCCAAGCTACAATTATGTCTCCAGTTTCAGAGCTGTTTCATGATTGGTAAAACTATTCAACAGCCCAGCATGAATCTGTCTACTGCAAACAGCAGTACATCACAGTTACAGCACTTTGAATCCTGCCCGTCGTCCTTTTCTGCAGTCTTCTTGCTCATCACAGCTTATGCTGTAGTGATATTGGTGGGGATTTTTGGCAACCTGTGCCTGATTATCATCATCAGAAAACAGAAAGAAAGCCAAAACGTTACCAACATTTTGATTGCCAATCTCTCCTTATCCGATGTCTTCATTTGCGTCATCTGCATCCCTTTCAATGCTTCGTACACTCTGATGGACTATTGGGTCTTTGGAGAGGCCATGTGTAAAATAACTAGCTTTGTACAAAGTATGTCTGTCACTGCCTCCACATTCTCACTTATATTAATTGCTGTTGAGAGGTACCAGCTAATAGTGAACCCACGTGGCTGGAAGCCCAACATTTCCCATGCATACTGGGGAATTGTCTTCATTTGGGGGTTCTCTATGATCATATCAATTCCCTTTTATGTATTCCTGCAAGTTACTGATGAACCCCTGAAAAACCTTTCTTCCCACACCGATGTCTTTATGAACAAGGTTGTCTGCGTTGAAGTGTGGCCGTCTGTTGAAGAGCGACGTGTGTTTACCACAACCATGTTGATTTTCCAGTACTTCTTCCCGCTGGGGTTCATTTTTGTCTGTTATCTCAAGATATTTGTGTGCCTTCAAAAGAGGCATGGTAAAGTAGATAAGATAAGGGAGAAAGAGAGCAGGATAAATGAGAGCAAAAGAATTAATATTATGCTCTTTTCTATTGTTGTGACCTTTGCAGCATGCTGGTTACCTCTGAACATATTTAACATTTTGTTTGACTGGAACCATGAGGCACTGATGAGTTGCCACCATAACGTGGTCTTTATCTTGTGCCACCTGGTTGCCATGATGGCAACATGCATCAATCCGGTGTTTTATGGGTTACTAAACAAAAATTTTCAAAAGGATTTAGTCATTCTGCTTCACAACTTTAGATGCTTTGCATCTCAAGAGTTATATGAAAACATTGCCCTTTCAACTCTGAACACTGATGTGTCAAAGGGATCCCTGAAACTGAACAACATGCCTGCAAATATCTGAAAACAGGCAACTTTCCAACGTTTACTTATCTGTCTAGGACATTTGTATTGCTTGTATTGTGGTGGTTTTAGTCATGTTGCTTGAAGCTTGAAATATCTTGCAGAGGAGTAAAATAAAAATTAATATTTCATTAGCCTAGCAATTTAAGTTCCTAGCAAGAGTTTCTTATGCTGCCAGACACTGCTGCCTCTAAACTGTGGAGTCCTGTGAGCAAAAATTCTACTTTGTGAGCTACTGGTATCAAAGTTGTGAGCAGCTGATTTGGCCACTGCATAAATTAGTTTGCCCTGGAGCCTTCCTTCCTGAGCTAAGGCAAAAATGTGTGAGCCAGAGGCTAAAAAACTGTGAGCTAGCTCACTCTAACTCAGCTTAAAGGGAACACTGCTGCCAGACTATAGTGTATCAAAGCTAAACTGGACTGGTTTATTGTTAAGCAGAGTTATGTTCTTCTGTACACATTGGGTTGGATTTAGACTAAATTGAAAATTGCCACTAATTCCCCCTCCTTCCTGCAGACCCTCCTCGTGTCATTCCTCAAGGTTCCCTGTCCCCAGAGGTAATATTTGGTGGAGATCAGTGGGCTGCAATAGCAGGGGGGGAGGCAGGAAGGATCCAATCCACGATTGGAAAACTTAGTCTGGATTGACTCAATGGATTTAGAATGGTGTAACTCTGCTTTGGTGGGGGTACCTTGTTAGCTGGAGGGTGATGTGTGGGTGATAGAGTGGGGCGTATATTTAACATACCCTACAGCATGGCATGAAGGCAGATGATGTGCTGAAGCTCTGTGCTCCAGGGTCTGGGTCTCATCACTGCCTAACTGGGTGACTTCACAAAGACCTTATGTATTCTATCTTGAGCTCTGTGGAAGAAAGGCAGAATATAGATGTAACTCAGAGATTAATCCTTCTCCTGGTCTGCCAGAATTATTACCTCTGACAAAGCCTTGTTCCACCCTGAAGTTATACTATTAGCTAGCATCTTAAACAATGGCTTTTTAATTCTTTTCCAAATTCAAACATGTCCCTATGAGAGTCCTTATATAAATTCCTACCTTAAATATTCTCCCTGATCACCTATTCAATTTTGGGCCAAACTGCATGGTCCTCTTCCATTCCTAACCTTTGCTTTTAAATGGTAACGTGTAGCTTCTTATCTCAAAGAGGCAGTGAATCTGTCTGCCTACATACCTACCTATCTAGTACAATTTTATCCTTCCTTCAAGGTGCTTAGGGTGGCATATATGGTTATCCTTTCCCCTTTTTGTTCTCACAGCAACCCTGTGAGGTACATTAGGCTGACACGGAGAGAGAGAGTAGCCCAAGATTACCCAACAAGCTTCATGGAAGAGTCAGGATCTCTTCCAGGTCTTAGTGCAACACTCCGACCTTGACACCACACTGGTCAACTGCTGTCTGTTGCTTCACCTACAAATATGTAGATCTGACTGGCAAATGGTGAAGTTGTTATTCTGTCACTCTAGAAGAGGCAAGTAGCAGAGCAGCCTGGTAAAATGGGGAGGGGAGAAGGAACACAACCATTTACTTAACTACAACAAATGCTTCAATTACAACAATTAAGGTATTTCCTGAGGGCAGTTAAAGTTGCTCAGGATAATGGACTGAAGTGGTTCACTAGATTAGACTTTCCTATTGTGGCCATTTCTTGAAGCATTCCTGTCCACTTCAGCCAAATTAGCTCAGATAAGGGCATTTCAACGAGCATTTTCTCTTATTTATCATTGGCAGTTTATTTTCCATTATTGATCTCAAATTGGCAAGTCTATGGCTTCTCAGATTTTCACTGACTTGTGGTTAGAAACACAATTTCAGAAGCCCATACCAAAGAAGTAAGGTAGATGCTTCTCATACGCACATGCTCAAATTTAAGAAGCACATTTTCAGACATTACTACACCTTGCCTTAAGTATGGCTGAATCAGATATGTACCAGCTGTCATGCTGGTGTCTCAGAAGTGACTGGAGCCTAGGGTTGCCAGATCTGGGTTGGGAAGTACCTGGAGATTTGGGGGGGGGGGGTTGGGGAGGGTAGGGACTTCAGTGGGGGAGGGCATAATGCCATAGAATCCATCTTCCAAAGCAGCCATTTTCTCCAAGTAAACTGATCTCTGCCATCTGGAGATCAGCTGTAATAGCGGGAGATCTCCAACCACCACCAGGAGGTTGGCAACCCCACTGGAGCTGTATCTGGACTATGCTCATGGATGAATGATTTCAGTTAAATGAAACATCCACAGACATCTACAGACATGAAAGTCCTGATCAATGGAATCGTGAGGGTGGCACTTCTTGAGCTGATCACTGATCACTTTTTGAGCTGATCTCTGGTGTGCTGAGGATAGCACTGCAGTGATGAGAGTGATACTTTTTGAGTTGCCACTGCGCTCAGATGAGGCATTTTTGAATGGACAGATCTTGCAGAGATCTTTATTCAAGCGGTACTTCAAGGCATGTATCAAAACTAACAGCCAGTAAGTTAAAAGTCAGTTTCTGGGACCAAAATAGCAGTCAGAAAGTTAAAAGCCAGTTTCTGTCTTCTCCAGGACCAATCTGTTATTTAGACAATAGTGTGGGGACTGGAACTGCCTTTTATCACGAGTTGACCTTCTCATGGTAGTGGTAGTACCCTCTAGATGTCAGTGCATCACAGTACTGCATTATGAACTTCTACCAGTGCCAAGACCACTGTGCTTGCTCCCACACTGGTCCCAGTGTATGTAATGTCTGCCCTTCAGGGTACCTCTGATGGCATCAAGTGATTCCAAGTGAATGGAAACCAGCATCGAGGAGGCAGATCCCCACCCCACCCCCGCCACCAAGGAGGTTTTAGTTTTTGTCTCTGCCTTGTTGATATTTTAGTTCCTCTTCTGACTGTTGTTTATAGCAAGTAGGGTTGCAAGCTTTAATCACAATCAGTAGATTAATCAACTTGAGCTTTAATTGCTCCACCTTCCCATCGGTAATTAATTACTAAGGCTGGGAACAAGTAAAGACTCTTGAAGGGCATATGAGCAGTAAGACACAGGGAAGGGGAAACAAACTTGACCCAAAAACAGGAATCAAGCACCACAAGGGTAAGAAAGAAGTCTAATAAAGGGCCAATATTAAAAACCTAGTTGAAACTTATAATATACAAAAATACATGCATTTATTAACAGTTAAAAACATATAAGGGCCCAATGAAAGCTTCATTAAAAAGTAAAGGTGGCCTAAACACAAGGGCCAATACACATGACCTGACCAGTGTTCCCTCTAAGCTGAGTTAGTGTGAGCTAACTCAGTTTTTTAGCCTCCGGCTCACACATTCTTGTCTTAGCTCAGGAAGGATGGCTCCAGAGCAAACTGATTTATGCAGTAGCCAAATTGCTGGCACACAACTTTAATGCCAGTCGCTCACAAAGCAGAATTTTTGCTCACAAGACTCCGCAGCTTAGAGGGAGCATTGGACCTGACGCATTTCTGCCCTATTGGGGCCTTCTTCAGTGGTCAAACAATACTGAGATACACGTAACTTTAATACATATTACAATAAGATAACCAATAAGTGACTATTGGACCAAGAAAAGGAAGGCTATAGAAAAAAGATAAAAAGAATATTGAATATGAATAATCAATTATTTTTTTTACTTACAGTGTAGTAAAAATGGCTATATTACTTACTTAAGCAGCAAGATCTAAAGACACAAGTCAAAGATATCTGTGAGGCCTCAAAACATGAAAGTCATGTGTCTGGTGCCAAATGCACAATTGCTGAATTACAACATCTAAAAGATAAAATATATTTAAAAGGCTAATGGAGTAAATAAAAGCCAATATAATAGCAAAGATAAAAAATCAATAATATACAAATTACCTTCCAATTTAGGTCCAGAAAGCACCTGTGTGGCTGTCTAAGTCAGAGCTAGAGTGTCCTCAAGCAAATAGCAGTGTGGTGTGGTTAACCTTTATAGTTTGGTGCTGGATGATGCAATCCTAGTAAAATGCTTCTGAAGAAGGCCCCAATAGATCAGAAATGCATCAGGTCATGTGTATTGGCCCTTGTGTTTAGGTCACCTTTACTTTTTTATGAAGCTTTCATTGGGCCCTTATATGTTTTTAACTGTTTTTCTAATAAATGCATGTATTTTTGTATATTATAAGTTTCAACTAGGTTTTTAATATTGGCCCTTTATTAGATTTCTTTCTTACCCTTGTGGGCATATGAGCAGGCCAGCCAAATATGCTAGCTTCCTTCTTTTCATTAATGCAGTGGTTCTTAAAGTGAGGGCCAGGACCCCGGAGTTGGTCACTACTATCTGCAGGTTACCCTTACAGAATTAAAAAGTGACTGTTTATAGTGTGAGGCCAGAACTAGACACTTCTGCTTCAGTTACCAAGACTAGGATGGCCTTTCAGCTGCCATGACACAAATCACAGGCTGACTGGATTGCTCAGTCCTTTTGTATCTCTGGTGTTCATATCAGTGACCCAATGGAATCAAATGACCATTTTATAGGCTGCTTCCATATAGTGATCTCCATGCTGTCATATTTCTGTGTGATTCCCCCCCACCATGTACCACTATAAGACAGATAAGCAAAATCCAGAAGTTCCTTAGGGTGGATTCATATATACATTTGGGGTCTGTCTTCAAGTAACATACATTGTAATGCCAGCTAAAATCAGCCATGGAGTTGAGGTAATGGTAGGGTAGACATTGCTGCTCTGATATTCAGATATGTGTTCCTATGGTTGTCAGGTCTCCCCTGGCTACCAGTGGGAGATGAAGGGAGGGGTACAGTTGCCAAATTCGGGTTGGAAAACTCCTGGAGATTTGAGGATGGAGTCTGGGGAGGGCAGGGACCTCAGTGGAGCACAATGGATAGAGTCCACCCTCCAAAGCATCCATTTTCTCCCTGAGAACTTATCTCTGTAGTTTGCTGATGAGCTGTAATTCTGGGAGATCCCCAGGTCCCACCTGGAGGCTGGCATCCCTAAACGT